ATACATACATACATACATACATACATACATACATACATACATACATACATACATACATACATACATACATACATACATACACACATACACACATACATACATACACACATACATACATACATGCATACATACATATATACATACAAAATGTAATTATATTATATCATGTTATACATATATAAATGGATGATGTGTCATTGTTTGACTAGTACAACTTGGATAGTTAAAACGTTGGCTCATAACCTAGAGGTAATAACTATTTAGACTCCAAGTTAGTTTTCTAAAGCATTGGTTTTAGTTGTTAAGTGAAGTAAATAATATTTTTTGTGAAATGCAAATTACTTGATTAATTAACTTAAAAATTAGTTATCTTTCAAATGGAAGTAGATTATGTAGCCTAATAATATATCATTGAGTATCTCCATTTTAATATGATTATTTTTATTAATAGTTATAATTTAATATAAATATATCTAATATATATAAGTTATAGTTAAATTAAATGGCTATGGGTATTGAAAAAGTTAATGAATTTTAGGTAATTTAATGGAGTAATGGAGAGGAGAGAGAATTAATGGTGAGTTAATGAGAGGAGATAAAAAGTGTTAAAGCTGATTGGCCACTTGGAGTTATTTTGTTCAATCTTAAAATTAGAAAATTCAAAAAAAAAAAGAAAAAGATAAGTGCCTTTCAAAAAACAACTAGAAAGTAGGAAAGTGCTAGATTGGCGCATTCCCTTTTAATGTATATATGGATATATATGGCAGGGAATGGCAATTGGGCAAGTTCAAGGTAGGGGCCATATTCCCTATCCCGATCCTAACCTTTGTTGGGGATATAAGTTGCCCTCCATCTGATATCCCTGATGGAGAGCAAGGATCCAATCCCTGGTTTTTTAATTAAAAGCACTTTTGGAAATATATTTACTTAGAATAAAGAAATTTTTTAAATACAAATAATATTTTAAATATATTTTGATATATACAATATAAATATTGTTATAAATAATATTATATATAGTATAATAGATTTAAAGTAAATAAAACTTAATATATAAAACTAGGGTCAAGGTGAGGCGGGGACTTCACTCCCCATCCTCGTTTGGGGATCCTTATTAATCCTCTCCCTTGCCAAGGCAATCTCCATAAGTCAGCCAGGGATGGGGAAAATTGCATCCCTTATGGATGGGCCAACTAGTAAAAAATGTATAGTCAGCCAATGCAATAAAATGGTTGTCTATGACATCGATTTAAGGTGGAGTTTGATAATTCTGAAATTGAAATCAGGAAAGTTAAAAAGATGTTAAAAGTGTTTAAAATCTGAAAAGAGCCATGATGCTTTTCTACTTTTTAAATGCTCTGAATAGATAAAGTTGTTTGTGTTGGATCAACCATTCAACATCTGAAGTTCCCTAATTTTACTATTTTACCCCAGAGCAAACTATTTGATAAATTTGAGTTCAATTTGCACTATTACATATCAAATAATTTATGAAATTCAAAATAATACAAATAAAGAATAATAAATTAATAAATAATAAGTAACACAATTAAAATTAATAAAAATAACTAATGACTAATAAAAAATAATAAATAATTAACAAAGAAAGCTCCTGGACCTAGCTATTAATTAGAAATAAAGATAGCTCCTCAATCCAGGAGTTCCAGGACTATCCAATGAGTGGTTGTCTTGGATTTCTGTAGTCCAATAATCACTCGCCTAAACTCAATAAGTTAGTGGTTTGATAAAGATGGTGTACCATCAAGCATTCTCTTTTTAGTAGCTATTGTGCCATTCATGTGGTGTGTGGCCTTCTAAGATACATGCGCAATTGTGATATGTGTTCCTCTCTTCTCTTTCTCTCCCCTCTTTTCCTCTTTTTTCTTAACATGTGGACTTTTTAATATATGGGCTTGTCATTTCTCTCTCTTCTCTCCTCCCCATCAATTGGTCCCTTTCATTTCTATCCTCTCTCTCATTTTCTCCCTCACAATCTCTCTTAACTCTTTCAATTCCAGCTATTTTGTTTTCTTTCATTTTCCTATATCTGTTTTGCGATGGTTCATGGGTAGGGTTCTATGGTGGTTTGCTGATAGTCATGAACTAACGTGTTAGTGCACTACTCCTTTACTGATAGTAATGAACTAACATGTTAGGATTTAGGTATTGACCTTAGTTGGCCATTTTTCTTCTTGATTGAGATGACATTGGCTAACCATTGTGGGTGAGCAATTGGTTTCATGAATCTTACTTTTAGGAGTCATTCGACTTCCTCTTTGATCTTTAAAGGTATTTCTTGTATGA